TATGCTTCGTTTGAGAGGATCAATCATAAACCGCCAATCCGCCATGTTGCCACTTTTGAATGTTCCCGCCATCTAGGTATTAACCAATCAGAATGGGGATGACGCCGCAAGTCGCGTGATCGCCCGCCATGTTGCCACTTTTGAATGTTCCCGCCATCTAGGTATTAACCAATCAGAATGGGGATGACGCCGCAAGTCGCGTGATCGCCCGCCATGTTGCCACTTTTGAATGTTCCCGCCATCTAGGTATTAACCAATCAGAATGGGGATGACGCCGCAAGTCGCGTGATCGCCCGCCATGTTGCCACTTTTGAATGTTCCCGCCATCTAGGTATTAACCAATCAGAATGGGGATGACGCCGCAAGTCGCGTGATCGCCCGCCATGTTGCCACTTTTGAATGTTCCCGCCATCTAGGTATTAACCAATCAGAATGGGGATGACGCCGCAAGTCGCGTGATCGCCCGCCATGTTGCCACTTTTGAATGTTCCCGCCATCTAGGTATTAACCAATCAGAATGGGGATGACGCCGCAAGTCGCGTGATCGTGATCGCCTCTTCAGACGAACGTGCAACTTCGCCGGACATCATGTTTTTATATAATTCCATGTCCACGCACCCTCCGAGCTTCCTTAGTTGCTCACCATTTAGCCAGTGCACGTCCCACATAATTAACTATCACCGCAGCCATTCTTATCGACCGCATGCTCGATTTGAGTTGGCGACCGGCACATCATTGGAGGACACCATGTGATTAGGAGACTTGCTATTTCAAAAGTTACTGCTGCGTAAGAACAGCCTGTGGTCAGCACACATCTGAAGCAATCGTCAACCATTGTCGAGTCCAGTCCATGTCAAACACCGAATCCAGTCTCAAATGCGCCAAGCCTGCGCACCCGTGTATTCGGATTTCCGGCAAACACAGCGATATCCGAGCTTTTAGCCTGCCGCAACGAGGCATTCATGGCGTCATGAAACTTGTCTTCGATAGTGTTGGAGCTACAGTCATCTGGTTAGCTCAGTCACTACGCTTGAGTCCTGAATTTTTGTTTTGATACACAGCGCACATCAATTCCAAGTGAGTTTATCGTGAAAGCAAGAGCAACTTATCGACCTGCTTGTTTTAGAGTGCGGAGCTTGAAGGCAGCGAGGTAGACTGGGTTTCGAGGCTGATTGATAGATTCCGCGATGCTTGAGGATATCGGCACCGGATGGCGCACAGATGTTGATGGCAAAACCGATTCATGACGAACAGAACTATCGTTCCCAAGTGCTTGGCCTACAAGGGGAGAGTCGTTATTGGAGTAGGGAGAGGGGGAAGAAAAAAGTATGGGAGATAAAGAAGGGGAGCGTCAGCAGTGGCCTGTTTTCACTTATCCACCCTTCTGTACGCTGCAAGTAGTGATCCGGTTTATGTCACCACGCGACGGCCAATGTGGCATGAGTTTATTCGTATATGTGCAAGTCCTGGTTATTTTTGGGGTGTGATAGTAACAGGGTGCCCACACATAGACAGGAGGACGATTGGGGTCCTCAATCAAAGCCTTTGGCTCATAAGCACTACTGCAAGGCAGTGGTGTTTGAATAAAACCGTTCAGCTGAGTACCCTTTCGGTGCCTAACTGCTATGCTACCAGACGTAAGCACGAGGCCTGAGATACTGCCTGGTTGCCTGGGCCTAGACAGGGGAGTCGAGAGGCAGAGGTCGGGTTAGAACCACGAACCTTCCAGTCAGCAAATTCGTGCTCTGACCACTGAGCCATCTCGCGGTGTTTGCCTAGGAATGCAAGTACATCACCATTTTTACCGAACATGTCGCCACACATGTTCCAACCTCCAAACTGGGGGACCCGGAGACTGCTCTTCAGAGTGCTCTCTATTGACCAACCTGGTATGAGAGACTACGTGAGTGTCGCGTGGATACCCCCCAATATGGCTCAGTCGGTCGCCGAGGTACACAAACCGTCACACCACGGTAAGTTCCAGTTTCTTTGTGACGGATCACGTCGATCGCATATCTGCAGCTTTGGCAACCACCCACCATTCCTGTGCAATTTAGAGTTTCGACGCGCACAAGTGAATCCGGAGAAATACATTCTGGTTATTTCGCGGCATTCTATTCATTCACAGGCAATCTTGTAGACGTCGAGTGATACTGTTTTTACAAACACGCATGTCAGACCAACCGGTCGGTATTCCACTGGAGCTGTCTCACCCCATGTTTTGAATGTTGGACTGGTGACCGCAGAATTTTTTCGCAGTGGAGTTAGTCGCTCGTTAGTGAGATGGTATACACTCTCCAATAGTTTGATAATTAACTCAGCTGGCTGTTTCAACACTTGGGGTCCAGGTGATTTTGGGTTTAGGAGGCGCAGCTGAGAAGGTTCGAGGGTTTCTATGAGGTCGTAATCGTCGAACGAAGCAGCACCGTCGAAGAGGTTGAGGTTTCTTAACCCTATCTCCAGAGAGTGGACTAATCCGTACTGCTATGCGAAAACTGCTGTATTGTCTCGGTTATTCTCAGCTTCGCTATGTGGAGGGTGAATCTTTGGTATACCATTTCCGAGATGGCATGGGTCGAGATGGCTCAAGTGGTTAGAGCGCGAATTTACTGACCGGAAGGTCCGTGGTTCGAACCCGACCTCTGCCATTCGACTTCCCCTGTTTAGGCTTGGGCGACCTGGCAGTATCCCAGTCCTCGTGCTTCCTTCGTGTGGCATGGCGGCTAGGCACCGAAAGGGTGCTACAGCTGAACGATTATTATATTATATTATGCCATTTTCGAAGAGCGTGCGATGACATAAATACGTAGACTAGCGTCTAGTAAGTGACTTAGATTCAGTTATCAGGCTCTTCTCAAACGCCTGAAATTTAGCAACTTTCGTGTCGCTTCATCATTAGTGATACTAATAATAGTGGCAATAATGGACGTTCAGCCGGAACATCCTTTCGGTGTCTAGCCGCCATGCCATCCCAGGCAAGCATGGTGGCTGTAATACTGTCAGCTTGCCCAAGCCTAGACAGGAGCTGTTGAGATTCCGTAGTTGGTTTTGGAGCGCGGACATTTTGATCAGTAATTTTACGCCTGAATCACTGGTTAACCGATTTTGTTTTCGCACCGTCTTACGAGTCAATCAATTCAATTCAACAATTTATCAGCTATAAACCGTGTACCACAGCCACATTGATTTTAGCTGCTACAGTTTCGATCATCTGAAAACAGGACTGTGGGGCATACGATCAAGCCTTGGAGGCGAAGGCCTGTTCAGTTTGTTTGGAACTTTGGTAGCTACGCATTGAGGGCGATGGTTTTGATGCACGAGCACCACTGACTGCGCGATTGGGAGATTTCTGCCAATGCCATCAACCGTTGATGATTGGAGTCCCGGGGTCGCATTCAGGGAGGCAGTAGTTGCTGACCCGACCAAGTTTATTGGTTAGTGTTTTTGTGATTCGATGCCAGGTCATACACTGTCCACCTATCGATCGCTTCCACTCAGCGCAGGACTTGGCGAAAAGAGCCCTGCAAGACAGGAGATTTTCTTGCATGCGAAATACATGTCCTATCCGCCGTAACCTATGACACCTGAGTAAGTCACCTATCGCGGGAGAGTTCCTTCTTCCTAAGACCCTCTGGCGTACCTCAGCACTGCTAATCCGATGTTCCTACCAGACCTAGCCAATGCTTCGGAGACACTGATGGCCAAACACTGACATCTTTCGTATGTCCTCTGCCTGTAGGGGACACGTCTCTCATCCACCAAGCAGTATGGATCACACTACCGCAGTGCAAACTCTGCCGTTGTCAGAAACGTCACGTTGGTGCTGTAGGTGTCGGAGGTTGGAAAAAGTTGCGTGGTCTTTCCGATTCGAGAAATAATCTCATGTTCAGCCAGTCCACGTCGTTTGGCTTACCTGCAAGCATGAGTTATGGGTTTAATTTCACTCAGTCTTGTAGCAGCACTTTACGCTTTGCAGGTGTGAAGTGCGTGCCAAACCGTGCGGCAGAGTTATTTGGTTTGGCACATCGAATCATTGAGGCCCATTGGCGTGTAGACGGGGATTCCAGGGGCGAGCCAAACCGTCATATAGGAGCTGTATACTGCATTCTGTGTTCCTACGTGACGCCAACGCTGGCTGATTTTGACTCCAAACTAATCAAATTTGCTGTCCTTTCCATCCTGGTGGAGGGCAATTCCAGGACGTTACGAGTCTACCGTACACTTCGGTATACGTTCCACGCCTGAAGAGTGTAAAGTGCTCCTGCAAGATTGGGTGGGCGCAAACCCAAATATTATGTTTGCGGGTAAACTAATCAGCGTGGTGGATAAGTTAGTCTATTTGGACAGCCGCATAAGTCCCGGCGGTTTGGTGAAAGAACAGGTCGCTTCCTTCATTGGAAAGGCACTGGCAGCGTCTGCCAACCTCCGAAATTCGTGGCGTTGACGTAACGTCAGCTTGGCTGTCAAGGGTAGAATGTACAATGACACGGCCTCAGTTGTCCTACTTTATGGATCACAGGCGTAGCCACTTTGTCCAGAAGGAATCTAATGGCTCTCCATATTTGACGATTGGTGCCTCCGGAGGATTCTGTCCGAATTGATTGACTGGAAGGTCCGTCATCCAAACCAAACAACTGCATTTTGACTTGCTGTCTAGGCTTACTAGTAGCCCAGACTTAGTGATTCCTTCTGGTGGTATGACAGCTATGCACCGGGAGGGTGTTATGGATGGATGATTATTACTAATGTGTACAATACGGCCGAATTATTATCATATTTTTTTATAATGATAACCAGAACTGATAGGCATTTTGCAAAGTAATCGGCGTAAACAATGTGTCATCATAATAGTGCATTCAGGATTTGAGATCCACCACTGCTACATTGGCTGAGCTCTCTTTGTTTTCTTACAGCGTTCCCATAAATGGATGATTTCCTGAGGTTTTGAAGAGTTTCATGTATCCTCGACTGCATATCCTGTTCCCTGAAAGACAGTAGTCATCATGGATAATCTGATCGCTGATGTGTCAGACATCGATTTTGTGATCGAGACACAACTGGATAAACAGATTGGTCTTGGTTGTCTCCCGTTCTCAAATATGAACAGTATGTGCAGTTGGAAATTCTGAAAACCTTCACCTTTACAGAGTCCGGAGCCGGTGTGTGCAAATTCTTCATTATAAACCAGTGCACATTGAGTAACTTGTGTCCTTTACGGCACATTAAGGCGGACCGTACGGTGGTTTGTAAGCACTGGCTCCGTGGTCTGTGTAAAAAGGGTGATGACTGTGAATTTCTGCATGAATATGATATGACGAAAATGCCGGAATGTTACTTTTTCTCCAAGTTTGGTAACCATGTTGTTCACAACTCACGTTTATATCTAACTAGGCGAATGCATGAATAAAGAATGTCCCTTCCTACATATTGATCCTGCATCGAAAGTGCAGGATTGCCCATGGTATGATCGCGGTTTCTGTCGGAATGGTACGACCTGACTCCAACATTGATTAGCCCTCCTCTTCCCCAGGTCCCATGTGCCGCAACCGGCATGTCCGCCGAGTTGCCTGTAAAAACTATATTAACGGCCTGTGCTTGTTGGGAAAGAATTGTAAATACGCTCAGTGAGTCTGTTGACAAAATACGTACCAATTTTGTCCTAGTCCTATCTGGTGGCCTCTCCCAGGAAGCGATCAGGACTCACAAAAGAATCGGTGGATTTGTCATTACTGCAGTAAGTTGGCCTAAACCATTGGTGGTGGATCATAACCTTATTGGACTTTGCTGTCAAATGCTTCCGACTAAAGGTGAATGGCTTTCTTTCCATAACATTACTTGTTTCTGAGAACCCTGTGACAGCTCCCTACCGGCTTTACCGTTCTTGAGGCTCATTGCATAAGCCTAGTCCCCACGTTTCCATAGACTTTTACACCACTTATGAAGTATCATTTCGAAGTCACATTGTTTCTTGCTCAAGGGGGAATTGGGACATCTACGCCTTGAAAGCGTGGTGATGTCACTGATTGTGATTAGGCTATTTGTCAACATCAGTTTTGTGCATTGTACAGCTTCCATTTGGGCAATTGATAGTTGCTAACACGGCTGAGTTTACCTGTCGAAGTTATCATAGTTTGGTGTTCAATCATGGCCTACCCACCTTTTAGTCGTTTCCATTATGTACGTTGGTTAAAAGAGCTGGGCGAGACAGACTTGTCTGATATATCCAGCACGTGGTCTGATAATCGTGGCTTCCAAAAATTTCTGACACACCTCTGCATTGCTGATCCGAGGTATCCAACAGACCTTAGTAATTCTTTGGATAGTCGAATACTGAAAGTCCAAACTAATTTGTCATTTACGGAGACCTGAAATGATGTGAATGCCAGAGTCTATCGTGCGACTCCTCTGTAATTACCTCCGTGGTGATCCGTGGAGGTCGACCATCGCCCCAGACATCTGAGGGCTACTCATTCAGTTGTGCGCGTACTGTTGATTGTTTCTGACCAGCACAAGCGTTCACACCGCGTAACTTGACTGCCACCGATGGCTGATCAACTGTAGAACTTATTGGATCACGTGCTTATAGTTACTGCCTTAGAGACGCGGCTCAAGATTTTCGTTCCTCTCGAGACACTACTCGACTCGGATCACGCCATTTTGCGAAGATGTCTGACATATCGGATGTCTAGACATGCGTGAAGGTTCACTAACGATACTTAGAATGAATAAGTTGACGCGGTAAAATGGTTTGATGGAAATGAAAGTTAGTCATTTAGCCAAACGGGCTCATATCAGATTCACCAGCCCGCCAGCAGTTGCATATCTGGCATATCCGCGCAGAGAATCTGTGTTGTCATAAGAATGAGTCCAGTTCTGTAACTACTGTTGACAAGCCAATACGCAGCTAGCCGATCGGATTTGCTGATCAACTTTGGCAAACAAACCGCGCCTGCGCTCAATTGGACGTTCACAGACGTTTTGCATGGAGACGAATGCGGGGACGGAGGACGTCCTGCTCACAACAGAAAAAGCCGTTCCTAATTATCTGTGCGGTGAGCGCCAACTCTGAAACGATCACTAGGTTGTTTCTTCCGTAATTGTGCATTATTTTTGCCTACCAGGATAACAATCTGGGCGTCTGGTGACTGAAGCAGTTGTGGGAAATCGTCTTTCTCAGCTGGTGAACGAGTTCAGCAGTGGACAGTCGGGTCCGAAGGAACCTGTCCTCTGATGTGATCATTCCTCTCCAAAGGTTTTCTTTCTACAGGGGAATCGGAGATTTGTTGGCAACCTAACTACTTCGGTAATCAGACAAACATCTCTAACGTTTCATGACCCTCACAGAGGACCTCTAAATTATCAAGCCGTGGGAATTTTTGGCGGTTGATCAGATGACCGTTGATCTCTTCGACGAGCTTCGTAATTAGATACCGGTGCGTGGTTGAGTGGGTGATGCGATGGGTACGGAACCCATCCGAAAACAAGTGGGATTATAGAGCAAAATCGATTGGCCACGTGCCTAAACTCTATTCCCGAGACTCTATTACCTGCTCGAAATTTCTACGTCACCTCAATAGAATATGCTAGCAGGGGTAACCGACACGAACAGATTATATAGGAATGTCTATAGCTATAGAACTCTCTGGAATGCTTTTGGGTTTCAGTTTTATAGTATACTGCTGTGGGGCCGTCTTTGCTGACTATTGTTTGTCTCTTAGCAGGGACCAAATCCCCACACTTCAAGATCGTTGGAGTATAGCGTCTTGGTAACTGGAGAACAACTTACTGGTCGGCGTTTTCTACAGCGTGAAAAGTCTAAGGCGTGATTTTCCTTTACCGGACTTACGGTAGAATGTCGTAACATCTAGAAAGGTCGTAAACTTCGTGAAGGGTACCATTTCATGGTTTTGGTTACAGCCAATTCCTGCACAGCCTTCTCAACGCGTATTTTATTATTGGGCCCGCGTATTTTTCTCCCAACCTGACGAATTAGTCTTTAAGGGGTTTTAACTACCTGGTTCAATTCCGTCTATCTCGAGTGCTTCTTGTGGCTACTTGCTTCCTACTGAAACCATGGGGAAGTAATTCAGTTACCCATCTGATTAGCCACTCGTGGCTAGATGGTATAGGGCTCAACTGCTCAAAGAAAGGTTGTGGGTTCCAGCCTCCGTAGATCTTTGTGTTGGCTTATCCCAACAACAATGCAACACACGGCTTTTCAGCATGCGACCGTATAATATACATGCTAAGCTCTCGATTGAGGAACAGTTTCTCCCCATACGGGTTCTTGAATTTGGTAATTCATTGATTTACTTTCCAAGCATCTACTTAAGGAATTTAATTCACTGGATATATGTAGTCAAGCTGTGTACATAAGTCTTTTCTTGCGGATACTGACACTTCGTGAAAGTTTGTTTTGTTGGTTGGAAAGCCCGAACCATACGGACATAACCAGTAGGTGGCCTTGAGAACCTGGAACAGCATACGTTAGAGACAATGACAGACGTGATCTGTTCACCTAGTTAATGAGGTCTGTGCAGCTGTATTAATGTGTTCAATGTGCAGCTATCCGCCATCGCACTCTGGCTGAAATGAGACGCGCGTAACTCCAGCCTTAGTCTCCTACGTTGGTGAACATATACGAAGACTATCACGAGCGGAGCAGTTTGATTTGTCGTTTTAATCATGTAGGATGCGTTACTAAGCATACCCTTCCTCTTGAACTTTCGGTTGCCTCGGCTTGAATAGTTGAGTTTTCGAAAAATGCTTTGAGCAGCCGTTCACCCAACTTATGATCAATATTAGTTTTGCGAAATATCGTTCTGTGTAATGAAAGTCCACTTCGTTGATGCAATCAACAGCTTCACCTGGGTTGCACTTGATGTATGCCATGCTGGCGGATTTAGCCAGTGATACTCCATATTCTCGTCTGCACTGTTTAATCGCGGTGATTAACAGCTAGCGAGGGATTGTGCCATCGAAATGAAACCGACAGTTCTTTGGAGCCGATTAACTGACAGCACAGGAACTCGTGCTCTTCCGAATCTGTAGGTGAGTGTCAAGTTTCTTCG